TCCAAAGATTGATATACTATGTTTTCTAGTGTTTTTATATCCTCAAGTCTTAAAGAATCAGGATATTCAAAAGAAAAAATTTTCGAGGTCACCATTGATTTTTTCTGGCAAAAAAAGAGAAGCACGAAAAACCGTTTCGGCGAACACTTTTGACCGCTACTGTATGTGACATGATGTCAAAACCAACATCCATTCTTGGATCACAATTCCGCAGAACTCCACAAGAAACTAGTTCCCTATGCGTGGACAATATTATTAATACAATTATAATTATTTATAATATTAATATTTAGATAATGATGTATAAAGTGTAACGAACAAGCACTTTAACGGAATAATTTTAGAAGTTGCAATCGAAAAATAGCAAAGAGATTTGGACGCTATCGCATTATACGGGGACATTTCGTAACTTCCACGTTTCGTCAACGTGTCTAAACGTGTACATGTTTAAAGGTGTCAGTAGTGGTTTGGAGTTTCGACAGAAGAGCGCATGCTTTGCATACTAAAGCTAAGCTTTTTTGAAGGAAGGAAAGAGAACAGAGATGATTTTAAGGCGCTATCGCAAGATACGGGGGCATTGTGGTGGCAATGCATTTCAAACCGCGTAAAACATCTCCTTTCTGTCAAAAATGGGACTAAGCCTTAGGTGGAGAAGAAGAGGCTTCAGATTGCATAGGCAATTTTTTATTCGCCGATGTTTTTGACCCCTCCTGGGCGCCGTCCTAGAGGATGCTCCCGTATCTTGCGACAGCGCTCAGAGTTGAATGTTCAAAAACCCGAAAAGCGGAAAGCGTAGGAACGAAACCACTGGCACTGGACAGAATACACACGTTTAAACACGTTGTAAGCTTTAACCAGCAAGCATGTGACCACGACTTGACCAGAATGCACACGTTCAGACAAAATGCCCCTGTATATTGCGATAGCGCCGCGATTCCTTGATTGTGGGACAACCTAATATCATGATGTACTGGAAACACTCACTTATAATAGCAGGTCATATGATACGGTCTGGCTAGTGTATCAGCAAAGAGTGCTAGTAGAATGACAGCGAACATAACCTGAACAGTATGAAGAAAACGGCGATGGGCGTGAAATGGGAGAGATTTCGAGAGGTAAATGAGGAGCAGAAACCTGAGCTAGCTAGATTGAAATTCAATTTTCCTAATAATTGACTAACTGGGAAAAAATTAAAAACAATTTTTTCTTCGAAATCATTGATGAAAAGAGCCCAGAAAAGTAGACGAATAGGAACTCCCATTTATTTTATACACATCATAATAGCCGCCGATCGAACAACAAGGGCAATCGAGAGGCACGACTGAGAGAAGGAGATGGCTGCGAATGAAGCACATGAGTGCTGAATGTTATCGCTGTGATTTACTTTGCCATCGACACAATAACCAGAAAAGTGCGCCAGGTTCATCGATACCAGCTGATGATGTGAAAGGTTTTGAAAAGCGAAAGCTCCCGAAATACAAATGGCTCAAATAGTGCATATGGTCTCTTACCAGGAAAGTCCTTTCAGGAAATGGAGCGTTTCTTCAAAATGGTTTTTTGCATGTTGCAGGGACACGCGCAGGGAACACAAAACTGAGAATGTTTCACAAGAATGCTGGGTTGTGAACAAAGCATTCGCCCCAGACGGGATTCGAACCCTCACCCCTCGTTTTAACGTAATAACAAACAAAAAACAAGACAAAACTGAGAATAAGTTGTGCTGAGCAGCTCTGGGGATCAAAAAGCTTGCTAAGCCAGCCATTCTGCTGGTTTGTGGTTCGATTCCCACTGTGGACAAATTTTTGCATTTCTCTGATTTGTTACTTGGGTTCATATATGTCCAACCTTATACGTGTGAACAGAAAACTTCGAAATTAACTATGCATAAAGCTGAGTTGGGATGAAATGGTGCCCCGGTAGCGTAACTGGTAGCGCACTTGCCCGGAAAGCGAGAGGTGCGGGTTCTAGTCCCGCCTGGGGCGAAAGTTTTGTTCACAACCCAGCATTCTTGTGAAACATTCTCAATAGAGTTCTGTTGAAAATGGAAAAGTTTCCTTTCTAAAAGGAAATTTTCTGCTCTTTTTTCTGTCAATACCGGGGCCGCTCAGAAAAATGATCATCAGTTTTGTGCTCCACGCACGCTGCCTCTATGACGCACCAACAACAGTGCTGAAAAAGCGCTTTATGTCCTGAATAGATTTTCCACACCTTATGGAAAGCCTGGCATGTAGTTATAAACTAAGTAACGCAGCGGTGAAATAAGCCCCCGTTAGGTCACGCGTTGACGCTTCTCTTTTCCCTCTTTCGCAACATGCGGATATCCGCCCTTTGTTGTTGCACTCTTCCCCCCCCCCCTCTCTTCTTCGGACTGTTATCTATTACCTCAGCACAGTCGATTTACAGAAAAGAGGAGCTCTGAATTTCGAAGATTTCAGCGGATGTTCTCCTTTTTTCAGTGCTGGTATATTTCACAGCCGTACTGCTATCATTGTGTGCACGAATTACACCAGGTTGATGAGGCATGCCTCAATGATCTGTCTGCTCTTCCATACAGTATTAGTAGGTTGGGGCATCTACCTTGCGCATTGCCCTTCTCTAATCGTTAAAGATCACTCTGAGCGGTTTTCGAACCCTTGGTCCATTCTGCAGAGACTGATTGGTCGGCACTGCACCACTTGCCACTGGATCCTTCCTATCGTAAGGCATTGAGCGGCACATGAGCACATTTTGCACCAAACTGGCCAGAAGCCTTTTGTGGAACTTAACTATTCGTGAAGAGTTATAGGTTCAAAAAGAAGTCGTTTTTTTCGAATGATAATTGTCAACAACGCAACGAAAGATAATTGCTCCCTCATATCGAATACCAAAACGAAGTTTGTAGTAGGAAAGATAACGCCGATGACAGAAAATTGCAGAGAAGTCACGAAATTTGTTTTCCAGCTTAGAAAAGGCCTGTTGGACTTCTTCGTATGGTTATTCACAGCACAAACTGCTCCTGGATAACGCCAGTGGGACCGAAGAGTTTCCCCCTTCTGCCGTTGTTTTGCACTACCCAAATAAATTCGAGTGTGATCGATCATGAAGAAGCAGAGCTTGAAGGAATGAAACCGAGAGAACCTGTAAGCGATGTCAACAAAAGTGACTTCTTCCCCCCCCCCCTACCGAGCTCATCTCGGAGCCTTCATGGCTGGCATTCCTAGGACACTTCAATCCCACGTCTTACAAGAATGCGATGACACTTTGCCCAATATGAATGCTGTCCTGAGAACGCAGAATACGACCCTTCCCCTGAATGTTCCTTATAGCGAACAGATGACCCAGCTCACCATAATGTCATTGGCTAATTGGAGACTTTTGGTCCCAGAAACAGGCTCAAGCGAGTACCTAGGAAATAGAACTGTAAATTCCATAGAGATAATTTTCTGTTTTATAAACAGCTCTTATTTTTTGATTTTTGTGAATGTGTTTTTATTATTATGGGGCCAACCCAAAGAAGTAGTCTAGTTTCCGTTTCGCACGCTCTTAGACGGAAAACTAGACTGAGTATCCTTCCTCTGTGCGTCAGTAGGAAGGAAGGAAAAACCGTTGTTCAAGATATTATTCAAGATATTAATCAATTAATTTTATATTCTAAATTTTTAATTAGTTCATACGAATGAACCTACTCCTGAATACTTTTCTTTACTCTTTTGTCTTTTTTCTTTTACTTTTTTGTCCGTCTCATGATTTTTATGACATGTGCAGGGATACTGTAGACATGTTCTACTCGAACAATCAAATATTTATTCTCTGTTAATTTACATTTGTAAGGCAAAATTTGTTGCTTAGAAGCATTTGCGATGAACGATTGATGGACCGGATTCGTCGTATTCTTGCTTAGAGATCCAGAGTTGTTGGAAAGTGGACAAAGAGGCGAGGATTGATCCTCCGATCCATACGGAGTATTTCCTCTCCGGTGGTGCAATGATCTTGATCTTCATCGTGCTAAAAGTGGCCAATAATTACAGTGAAAAGGGACCGAAAAAGCAACAGTCGGCTACCGTAATAAAACCGTGTTGTGTTTCGGACGGATATTCTTGCTAAGGGCACAACAATACACGTTAACAGGTTTAATACCGGGAGGATGGTTTTTTTTTCTGCCTACTGGATTTCGTATCGAGAGAAATATTTGACTCCTGTGCAAGGGTGTCACTCTAGCGCTTATATCTCTGGCCCTAGAGGGTACCAGTCCCGACCCGGCGTGCAGTATTGTAAGATAGCTGTTGAAGTCCACAATGCGAAGCTGTGATCTAACATCAACAATTGATTACTGCAGCCGTCCACCGAGGAAGGTTAGACGAAAAATTGGCGAGATTCGGACTATCTTTCGAAATGGACTAAATTTCCTGCCTATGAGACCTTCTCTCCCTCCTACAACCCCTCCCTCTCACCCCCCCCCCACCTCCCCTTCCCCACAATCTTTGATGGTTGTCTTCGGCTTGGTAGAACTGTGACGCTCGCCCTCGAAATGTGCAACCTATGACCCTCAGAAACCTCAAAACTGACTCCCATTCCTCTAACAGGCAACTACAACCTCTTATCGAAAGATTTCGCTCCAACGGCTCACATTGCCTCCGAACATTCCAAACCGGGCTTCTACTCCAATGGCTGTAACTGAAGCTCACCTTGGTGCCAGGTGTTGGATTTCCTTCTGCATTCTGTCGGCGATTCCTGGGAACATAGAAGTACCACCAGAGAGGACGGTGTGGCGTAGAGATCCTGAACATGTCACATTTTGAAAGCAGTGAGCTGAGCGGACCCGATCTTAACGCAACTCGTCCAAAAAGGTAGTAAATCTGAGATGCAAGTGACACCTTTCCTGATATCGAACGGTCCGCATTTCATCTATCGATTGATAGGATGGTCTCGTAGAGTTCCGAAGGGACTTCCATACCCCGATGAAGGCCGGGTTGGAACGCACCCTCGGGGCATCGGAAACGCTCGTTACCAATGGTGATCACCTAGAAAGCTCAGCTTTACCAAGGGTTTTGAAGACTTCAAGCATCACTTACCTGTCCGTCAGGGAGCTCATAACTCTTCTCCAGCGACGACGAGCTGGCGGCGGTGGCGAGTTCCTGCTCAAAGTCCAGCGCTACGTAGCACAGCTTCTCTTTGATATCGCGAACGATCTCTCGTTCAGCTGCAATACGCACATGACGCAACTGTCGTAACACACACAGACGCCGTTACACAGACGCCGTTATCAGTCACGGCTCCAAGTGAACTGTTACGACTGTTTGCTCTCTACAAAGCGCTATCATCTCACGGCCAATAAACGCAACATACCGGTAGTAGTGAATGTGTAGCCACGCTCGGTAAGAATCTTCATCATGTAGTCGGTAAGGTCACGACCGGCCAAATCAAGACGTTGGATAGCGTGGGTAGAGCGTAACCCTGAAAAATCATACCTTAACCTGTCCCATTTTGGTAGAGATCACCAAAACCAACCTCGTAGATTGGCACAGTGTGGGTGACACCATCTCCAGTGTCGAGCACGATTCCAGTGGTACGTCCAGAGGCGTACAACGAGAGCACGGCTTGGATATTCACATACATGGCTGGGGTGTTGAACGTTTCAAACATGATCTAAAACACCCACAACATAGGTCCTGTGAAGAAAACAGGGCCAAAAGACGAGAGCACAAACCTGTGTCATCTTTTCCCTGTTGCTTTTCGGGTTCAGTGGAGCTTCGGTGAGCAGGACTGGGTGCTCTTCAGGTGCGATTCTGAGCTCATTGTAGAAGGTGTGATGCCAGATCTTCTCCATATCATCCCAGTTTGTCACGATTCCGTGCTCAATAGGATAGCGGAGGGTGAGGATACCTGGAGGGAGGACGATTTACTAGTGGTAACTTCCCATGGGGGTTTCCGACGTACCTCGTTTGGATTGAGCCTCATCGCCGACGTACGAATCCTTCTGGCCCATACCGACCATCACTCCTTGATGTCGTGGACGTCCGACGATTGACGGGAACACCGCTCGTGGAGCATCATCACCGGCAAATCCGGCTTTGCACATTCCGGAGCCATTGTCGATGACGAGGGCGGCAATTTCGTCCTCCATCTGAAGAAGGGGAGCGAGTTACTGAGGCACAAGACAAATCAAGCCTCGGAGAACATAAATTCAGGGTTGGGCTAAAATATAATTGAAGGCAAAAGTGAATGACAAAGGAGAAGCTGCGACATTGTGACGTTATCAGTGCGTGGCACGCTTTATACTCAGTTATCAGTATTCCAGGAAAGGAGCAAATGAGTTGCGACGCTGATTGGTCGCCGGCCACATCGACGACACCTCCGCATTGGCGCCTCCTCCCATTGCCCTACCTTGTCGTCCCATGGCCGTCGATGACTAACTAGGCAAAGATGCCACATGGGATCGCAGGCGTCCCTGCGGTTATCAAGTGGGAGACGTAATAAAGTTAAGAAAGTGAGTGGAAGTAGTGAATAAAGGTATCAAAATTGATTGCTCTTCGTTAAACTCCCTTTTTTCCAATGCGACACCATTGAGTCTCCTTACTTAGGGCAAGTTCTTAATAATAGTTATCCAAGACGTAGCAGTATCCAAGCCAGGGTAATAGCATTTAACATAGTCAGTCGCTCCATCGCCGCAATGACGCACGCATTATATTCCCATTCAGAATCGCAATGCATTTTGGCCATGCGATCACTGTTCATTAGCCGCCTGTTCGAAAGTTTTGCGAACTTCTGACCACAAATTTCGGAAGCCGCACAATTTGATCAAACAGGCATTTTCGATCGACGATCAAAGACTACCACAATCTTCTACCCTTGCCCACAATAAATAACTTTCATTGGGGTTTCAACCAGTAAGTAGGGGGGGTGCATGTGGTGGTTAATATTGCATGAAGAAAACCAACCTTTTTCAGGGGAGGGAAGCTCCGGGTTGGGTGTAAAAGCTTAAGCGAAATGGTTCACGCACCCCCGGGTTCCCTCCCCTTGCAAAAATTGGAATTCTGTAGCCGACAAGAACTGTCACCACCACATGCCCCCCTTGCTGGATGAGACCCTTTTATTGATCTGGATGTTGAAAATGCTGTAGTTCTGTAGGTTATAAACTCGGTGAGGGTCGTTTTGCCAATATATTGGGTTTCGCATTTCACTCTCTCTCTATCGGAGACCTTCCAGATGGTTCGAAAAGTGACATTTGGTAGGCAAGAGGTCTAATGTGTAAAATGATTTCGGCACACTTCCGTAGCTCACGGCTGTGCACGGCTGGAAGTGCGAGATGGGGCTGCGCAACACTGGGTTAGAAGAGTGCGGCCACTGTTTTGACAACGTTTTTGGGCTTTTTACCCCAACTTCTGCATGGAAACCTTATATCGGTTATGGAAATTCAGCAGCGGCCCTGTTTTAGCAGTTCCATGCAGATTTGATTTAATCAAAAGCTTCAGTTTTTGTCAGTCTCTGATAACCGACCTTCACTCTCCTTCTTCGAAAACTTCATCATCGCGAGAAAGATTCTGAATCACGACTGCACAGAGTAGTTTTCCGTAGATTCGGAACTAGCGCTATGTTGATATCGTATCATGCTTCGGAAATTCAGCCAAACTTGGAAGGAAACAAGAAACTCCTGCAAAATAGTCTGTTGAGACTTCAAAAAGAGGGGAACCAGTGCTTCAGGATAAAATAACAGTAGATGGAAGGAATGCGCTTTCTATTGTATGTAAAGTGTTAGCATTTTCTTGGGAGTAATTCAGGAAAAAAATTCAAAAGTGCGCTATTAATAATGGCGGAAACTTTCCCAACGACTCCCAAATCACTGACACTGGTGGTAGCGGAGGTCTGGCTGGCCTGGGCGGCGTACTGCTCAGGTCCAGAATTTGATGTGTGATGATGTAGGAAGTGCAAGCGGTATCTTCTGTTTCACTCGACGCGAAATTACTGCAGTACGTACTGCGACTCGTCCGCTGACTCTGCCTTTATTGCCGTGCGACGGGCCTCCTGTCCGGCACATGTATGGCGTTCAAGTAAATAACTGACGTTGTGAGCTTATAGCGCATTTGTACATTTGCCAAACCCGCTCTATAGCGTGACGTGGTAGCCTAGAAGGGTGCATGGGCGAAAGCTTACGGCGTCCGCAGGAAACGGGAAATCCCGACGGATGCCGGGGAAAACGGTGATCAGGAAGTGGTGTACCAATTTTAGGAGATGCATTTGCATTTAAATTTGTTGAGTGTGATGTTCGAAGTGACAGACAGAACAAATTTGACAATATGAGCTTTACTCGAGTAAAAAAACAGGCACAACAATATGAACAGCAATGTACAACCATAAAAAAGGGAGATCGAGAGCCTAGAGGGACCGCGCTAGCTTTTCTCTAACACGCGAGCCACGCGGAATCTGGCCCTCTATCTAAGCCTCTATGGTGGGAGGCAAAGCGGCTACACAATGGTTTCAGAGTAACCCTGAACTTGGTCCGGCAGTAGTACTAGCAGTGAAAAAATCGGAGATTATTCCCAAATGTCTAACATGAAAAGATTTGCAATTTGCCAAAACAATCAAAAAAAAAGAAGGGAAAAAAGAAAATAGCCCGTAAGCAAATATATACAATCTCGCCTCGAAAGACCAAGCGGAAAGTGAAATGAGAGTGCAGTGTGAAACAAATTGAACTGAACCGATTGAGTAAAGCTTTGAGCGGAGGCGGCGGCGAGTCGCGCTAACGGGGGATCGGACTTGATCAGACCACGGCTCTACGAGCCCTCTTCGCAAGTTTCACCCTTTCCCTAACTTCTGTCTGAATCGTGTCCTGGATCATCGCTACGTCATCCTCCGAGACATCAGGCATAATCAACTGAAAGCAGACGGATCAGAAAATGTTCTGAAAAGGGGCGGAGTTTGCAGAACGCATGCTCACCGTTCCATTACGATAGCACTTTAAGTCCTTCCTGATGTGACACAATCCACAGGATTGACGGCAGTTCTCGCTCATGAAGTTTTCCGATTTACCAGCGCACATGCCTCGTACCTTGAATTCCTTGCACATTGGGTGCAGGTCGCGGCAGTCAACTAAAAAATGCCAATTTTAGAAATATTCAATCTCTCAGGACTTAGTAGTACCTACCGTTTGAGATATTGTAGGTTGGCGTACAGACCCCGCAACTGGCTCCACAGTACACGGCCATGTACTCGGCTTGAGTGCCACACAGTTCTTGATTAGCCCAAGCGGTGCAGCAGGGTGACCTAAACAGGCTGATGTTGGGCGCTGAAAAGTCCAAAGAGCCAAAAGGCTTGCTGAAATGCCGCTTAAGAGGATTCCGTCTCCACGGTCAACGGAACATACCTATTGTAGCAGTTTCTGAAGAGCGGTGCAACCATCTTGAGTGGCTTCGGAGGTGGTGCTTCCTCTTCTTTGCCGTGCTCAGATGTCGAAATGAGACCCAAAGTGAGCGACGAGTTCACCGCTTTCACGTTTTTCAGAATTTTTGAAGCCCAAGCTCGATTTCCCTGAAAAAAAAATGAATGAACGCTGCCTCAGGGGAGTAAGGGCTACCCCATGGGTCAGGAAACTTACCGGGATGCAGCGTCCCCACCAGCATCGTCCCGCATAGCACACGTCGAAATTCTCGAATCCCATACAGTTACCGTTCATTTTTACCTTGGAGACGCAGTGAGGATAGCTGAAAAGAAGGCCTTAATGAGCTGCTAGTCCTGAAAAGTCCTTTCTTGACAACAGTACCCTCTTGTGTCACAGAACAGATACGGCGAGCCGCAGTTGGGGTTCTGTAGCGAGCAGGTGGCTCGAGGTGCATAACGGTACATTTGATCGGTGTATGAGTTGGAGAGTCCTGCAAGAGAGTATTTTGGGTCCTGAGAAGAAGGCCCTGTGTGCTCAAATGAAGCGCCTACCATCTCTGTTGGCCAAATAGGGGAAAGGACGCATGTAAGCCCAACTGAAGTGCAATTGATTAGTGCACCAGCCGTTGTCGTCAGAGTAAGCCTGAACAGGTGGATTTACTCTCAGGTACCCTTCTGAGCTGAGGGTATGGGAGAAATCTCCCACTTACCACTTCTCTCAACCATCTCGGTTGTTTCAGTTGACGCCATAGTTCCCACAAATAGTCGACGAACGAGTGATGCATGAAGAACAGCGGCTAAAAGTCGATAGATGATTCGCAGATGATCTAGCGGCAGGAAAAGGAACCCGTACGACTTCAAGAGATCAGTCAGTCTCACCTCATTAGCAGAAGTGCTTGGCGGTTTCATGTCTCCTCCGACCCACAGATGTACGTTTGAGTGGATGTACTCGATGGCGCCATAGTTGTTCGGGTATGGGCATCCTGAAACCATCGATCGATGTTCCTTTTTCAATAGTATTAGCTAATTTGTGGCTTTTCAAAGTAGGTAGCTATATTACCCGAAATTTACCCAAGCTACCATGGGTTAACCCTTTCTTGGTTAAGGTAACTGTCAAGGTAGACCAAGTGGTTGAGGCGTTGAGGGTTAGGCCCAGGTGGGTGGGTTGTACTGGGTTCAATTTCCCTCCTTTGTCGTTCACTTGACCAACTCCAACTCTTGGGATCTAGCCAAGAAACCGGTTGTGCCTCAAGACATGGGTCCAGGACAAGATCTGGGCTAAAGCGATGGCTAACTGGTTATCTGAATCTATACCATTACAAGGGTTTACGGGAGTTCCTCGGTAAGGCAATCAAAAATAGACTAAGAGGTAAAGGGTAGGTGTTTGGTAGGGCTTTCGGAGGGCTCGCTTCGGCCTACGCGTTTGGCAACCCCGGTGAAAGGAATAAAGCCCCAGGCTCTTTCATCTTTTTTGTCTATAAGAGGGAATATATAACCCAATTTTGAACCCCAGCCGATCCACCGCCTTGCTAATGGGGTCCAGAATTCCACTTATAGAACAACGAAATGAAAGCGTCGCTCTATAGATGTTTTGTTCAGGGTTTTCTCCGGTAATATGCCATTTTGGGGCGAAAATGGCCTCAGAAAAACTTCTCAATGACGGCTCGCAAGCGGCTGCTTGATTTGGCTGGAAATTCTTTGAAATTACACAATGCCATTGTCGCCCTCCTCATGAAAAATCACCTTGAACCCGTAACCCGTGGGTCAGGTTTTTACCGATGCTTCAACAATCGATTCATAAACAGTCGGTAGAGAGTGTCTTGTTCGTGTCACAGCTGGATGACCTCGAAGGACAGGTAACAAAGGTTTATTCACTTCGCCCGAGGTCATCAACTCAGCACATCGACGGCAATGACGTGAAGCTGGTCGCATCAAGGTGTAAAAAGCCGCACTTCAATAGCGGTCGCCTAATCGGCGATGGCGCGTGGAATGTTCTTCCCGAGGAGAATTGTCCTACTGCCGCGATAAGATCTCCCATCTGTGACCTTCCCGGGGCATTTTACCCAGATAACTACTCACCAGCGGTAGGAGCTGTGTAGGCCAGGGTGTTCTCGATGGTGTTCTGCGCCACGACGTTGTTGATCTGGTTCTCGTTCAGCAAAGAGCCTTCCCGACCGAGATTCCTGGAAAATGACGAATTTGATCGAATTCTGAGCTTTGAGGGCCTTTTGGGCTCTGGGAGCTGTTCGAGACTTACCTGAGAATTGTAGGACGTCCCTCAAGGGTTCTCCAATAGGCAAACGGACCCTGGATCACATTCCCGTAGAAGTCGGTCTCACCAGCGAACAGATTCGAGAAGATGATCGAATCTCTGGGATCGGGTAGGTAGTTGTCCATGACACTGTCCCAATAAGGTACCGCTACCGATGGGTCGACCATTCGAAGGGCAATCTCGAATCTGAAATCAATGATCGTCAGTTGCTATAGGGAGAATAGTAACAGAACCTTACCTCTTCAGGTATTCTCTATGCCAGGGCAAGAAACCAGGTCCAGAATGAGCACCAGAGCCGACACCGACCTATAAGCTCCTTTTTAAGGACCTATTCGACAAAAAATAGCCGCTCTAGGGGAAGATAGCTATACGGTAGGGTCAACTTACGTCGAAATGCTCTCTGCTGATACGATCGTATTCGCCGTTTGCTTTCAACGTAGCCAAAGCTCGATGCCAACGGTTACGCTCGTCGTCGGTCATCATACGGTATTCCTTGCGATATGCCATTGTCAGAATAGCCCCATTCGACAGTACACATTGACCGTTTTGCATTCGTCCCTAAAATCGTGTTCAGGCTATTAAAAGGCTATTCGGATGGTCACGGTTACTGGGAACTCACCGCAAAGAACGGGCACAGGCAACCCAGAGTCATGCAGTCATAGGGGTGATAGGCGACTTGACCACGTGAACCTGGTGGTACCGGGATTGGCGTGAGCCACTCGGGAACCGCAGGTCGTGGTGGGGCCATCTGCTGCTGCTGACGTGCAGGAGCACCTTGCCTTCCCCTTCGTTGTTGTTGGGCAGGGCCTCGATTGTTTCTCATCGCTTGCCTTGCAATTCGTCTCCTTGTCAATGTATCCATAGTACGTAGCTGAAAGAAGAAGATTTCGCCCAATACGGGGGAAATTTTTGCACTCATAGGTTTTGACGGGACGCCTTTATAGTGTGACCGACGATGTTTTTCAGGCGGCCACCAAACAACCAAACGTCAAACAAGATGGACGGTCAAACAACGGGGTAATATTCTCGAATAACAGCAACTTACCATCACACATGTCTGTTTAATGTCACTATTGGGAGCATCGGAACAGTCTCGAGGTGGCTCTTTGGTGACGTTCTTCGCCGCCTCGGCGACCAGTAGCACCAACGCGAACAGTAGAAGCGCCAAGAGATAGCGCATAGCTGAAAAACGTGTCGATTTCGTTGATATTCAATGCCCCTGGGGCGGTATTTATAGACGAAAAGGGGGGGGGCACGGGGAAAGGCAACCACGATGAGCTGTCCACCCGACGACGAGCAATTTCTTACTCATAACATGATGACAAGAGTTGAACAGGTGGGGCATGTATTGTTTGACATTTCAATGGGAAAACTAGAGAACCCCGGCGGAGAAAACCCTGCGCATTGCCCAAGGCGGTGTTTTCACACCTGCTAACCCGACGAGAATTTCCCGAGTATCCCTTCGGAACGGGTTTGCCGCTGTAGCAAATCGTCGCCGTCCACGATAGACATATGGGCGCGCGTACGCACGGCGAGAGTGCCATTGTGTTTAGTGGCATTCGTGCAGGGCTCATTAGCTGATGTGGTTCTACTGGATAATGTCTAATACTTGAAATAGATAGGTAAACAATTATCGATTGGTTAGGCCTGTAATAGGCCCTCGCCTAGACGGAAAACGGCTGGTATCTAGCTGATTTTCGATAGGCTAAAGGAATGCGTTAGGCTGTAGCAGGTCCTCGGCAGCACAGAAACGTCCGGTACCTGGCTAATTTCCTATAAGAGTAAGGAATACGCTAGGCCTATAACGGCCCACTCTCTCCCCGGACAGGGCGGAAAAGTACGGTACAAAGCTTTTTCTCAAAAATGAGTGGGAATACAGTGAAAAGTTGTAAGTAAAAGAGAGCAGGTCCTCACAAGCTAACATTAGTACAGTAGTTCGATAGTACTGTAGACAAAGCGGCAAGAAGTTAATCATCATGTATATTGGAAATTAGATGCTGTAGAGGGAGAATTAGAAGCTTACCAGAGGAAGGCAGACGAGACCGAGCTGCAGAAGTGTCTAAGTGAATGGCGCAATCACCTGCCCCCTTAAAGGAGTAGCCGTCAAGGTTACTGGAACCCGGTTCGGCTAACTGCATAACTGTTATCATATAAAGCATCGACAAGAGTTTCGATTCTGATTGTTAGCGTGAATTTGTTAGAGAAATCGAAAATGCTCAGACACCACCAATTTCAACGACGGCGACCACTGATGGCAGCTTGGTGCGCTAAAATAAAAGACGGCAAGGCAAAAGGCCACAAAGAAGTTGGCGGACGACCCGCGAGGGCATTCCGCACGTACAAACACCTTGAGGAGTCTCGAATGAAATAAGAACTCCCCCAGGTGGGAGAAGAATGCTTGCTTGAGTGTGTGATCGTTGACGAGCATGAGACAGGTAGCTGGGCTTTTATAGGGGACGTTTCGTGGGGTCGAAGGTGGTGTCCCCGGTCGCAGAGGGCGGGGTCATGGGGCGGAGTATGCCCTACACATAGACGCACACATCGAGACAGTCACGTATCAACATTTCAACATCACATTTCATGCTTTTCATCATTAACTTCAAACTCATCAATTCTGACAGGTGGTGTGAAGGTGTCTGACAGGGGTACTGTTCAGCTCCTTGCCGGGCGTTCAGTTCAAAGGACGCAGCGTGTCAGAAGCCGCTGAGCGCTCTGGACCGGCCATCAGGGTCCAAGTTGATCGGATTTTTCACAAGTATGCTGTGGATCTAGGCAAAGGCGACCTTCAGGGTTTATGATGTTGGAAGAGCAGACGAGAAAAAAAACAACAATCAAGGGCGCATTCCTATGAAATCGCTTGTTCACCTGCCATTGTTCCTTTGCAGACGGTCTTTTCTTCGATTTCACCTACATCACACTTTCTCATTTCACCATTTTCATTGTCTTTACTTTTTATTGATGACCTAATCAAAGGGAAACATTGATGCGGTTAAAGCCATAGCCGAACGATCTGCAACAACATACGCGACCGGTTTTGAGTTATACCACTCTATTAAGTGTTCTTTGAGTATTTTTCGGGTCATTTTCCTTCAGTGAAAAGGACCGAGGACATTTTGGACGAATTGATAGGAGTTATTACAAGTCTACTGAATTGGTCGCCCTTTCGTTTTTCTTGGGAACGTAATCGAGCAATTTTTAACTTATTTTCTAGACTACTTTAAGCTGGATCCTCCTCAACTGAGATTGTGCAGCTAATATAGACTCACTTCTTAGCAAACTGAGCTGCAACCCAGAACTATATCCTTCATCTGGTGTCAAACTGGCACCTCAATATTGGATCGCCTGAATGTCCTTTCAAGCCACACATGTTCCTCGACGATTTCGAAAAAAATTGGGGACGTGGCGCACTCCAAAGAGTTTCATTTTCATGCCGCAACTTTTATCCTCCAGCGGTCACCGCCTGCCAGGAAGGAGCAGCGTTGGTCGGGACCCTCGTCAGCAATTCAATGTCTTCAAGAGTTAGGCACTTTCGAATCAATTATGCAAATTCTTTTGATTGGAAAGATTCATGGAGGATCTCAGCTTACCTCTCTCCAGGGGTCGTATTTTATCCCTCCCCTAGGCTAGGAGGACAAAAATTCCTTTGAATTTTCTTTGTCTTCCTAAAAAAAACCCGTCACCCCTGTCCTGTCTCCTGAGCATATTTCTATTGTATAAATGTGTCTAATGTAAGCTAGTGAGGAAAGTTAGGAAGCAGCGTCGCTGAAAACAAATCAATTTGAAGGACTCTTTTGTTCCTTCAGCCTGGGGAAAGGATAGGATACGGCCCCAGCCCTTGCGAAGGTATTTGGTCAGGTTGAACCGTCCCTATGGCCGCGGTTAACGTATGTGCTTTGTATTTCATAATTGGTAGGGGCAAGGAGTCATATGTGGCAAAATGGGTTTTTTTCTGGAAGCCATGGAAGGAAAGGTGGACAGGTGCAGCCCAAAGTGGTGTCCTCGCACGCAGTCCTGGGCATTTTCTGTAACGTACCCGGTTCAACCGATTTTATATCGCTCTGAGATCGGTTAATTGGTACCAGACTTGTCTGGAAAGGATAAAAATACACTGACTTGTACATCGGCTGGCCCCCGCAAGTCATTGTATAGGCCACATCGCATTCAAATTGCCACTACGATTCTGAATTGTGGTAGAAGGCGTGGCGCATACCAATGAGGGATTAGGTAGTTGGGGATTGGCAACGCTGAATGCACGTTTCTGTACTTCAACCACCTCGCGGTTTATAAATATTTCTCTGCGGTTACCGCAGATCCCCTTCTTGGAGAATATCGAACCGGCTGGTTTCCACTAGACACGCCCCCTAGTGGCCAGTGGAGGGCTAGTTCGAAGCCGGCGGCTTCAACCTACTGGTCTAATCGCTGGTCAGCTTTACTGCTTCTGTAGGAGTCTGCTATTCTCAAACCACAATTCTCAGTAGTTTTGGGTTCTAATGTGTGAGATAGCGCCTAGTGAATTCCCTTGAAAATGCTGCCTCATTTGTATTATTTCCACGAATTTTTCACTACCCTTCCTTTGTTCCTGATTCTTTGATATCGGAAGTGAAATATAGCGAGTTTTTTCATGGATCCAGCTCCATAGTAAAATCGCAGGAACAGATATACCATATTTGAGATAAACTACCAGTTATGCTAAGTACCGGGTATTACTTACATATTTCTTGCCTCTTTATTTCCCATCAAATCATTGGACACATGTTTATCCAGAACCCAGACTTATTTTTTTAAAATGAAAAGTGCAAAATTTCCTACAATGACCAAAACTTCTAACAATTTTTCTCCTATTTTTCTCCTATACCTAGGACATCCTTTTATTCACAATAAAAACATTATTGTTTTAAATCCGATCTGCCATGGTCCAAATTAATTCAAGAGATAGAGCTTTATCGTGGTCGTGTAATTTTTCCCAGCTGAGTGCTTGACACAATTTGAGTTGCGCCAAGAACTTTTGTTATTGAAATCTTTGCATTGAAAGCTATCAATCGACAAATCCAGAGATTAGCCAGACATCGCAGTGCGCAGAAAGGAATTTTTTTCATTAGATGCTTCGTCTCATTTGAGTTTTGCCGGCAATAAACGAACTCTTGTGACATCTTGATTGATAGGAAGTGGCTAATGTTACAAACTATGTGCTGTAGAAAATTGTTATGTTACTACCTAACCTCAGGGCGGAGTGTCAGTGGCAAGTGGCACGCTTACCACGCGAGCGGTCCGGGGATCAAATCCTGGGTCGTGAGTCGCCCGGGCCAACCAAGCCTTCCATCCCTCCGGGGTCGGTTAATTGGTACCAGACTTGTCTGGGAGGATAAAAACACTGACTTGAACATCGGCTGGCCCCCGCAAGTCATTGTATAGGCCACATCGCATTCAAACGCCACTACGAATGTACAAATGGAAGTAGAATGCGTGCCGCATCCCAAAAAGGGATTGATCAACGGCAAATGCTTTATCCTTTTTTATTTTTATTATTCTTGTACAATCACGGCACAGCATTCCGAGCCATTGAGCCATTGAGCCGTGATTCACAATGATCAAGTCAAATCTGTTGAAGTCCCGTCAAAAGATGGAATCTCCTCAAGTAAATGAAGTTCCCTCCAAATTTGTAGTTGATTTCCAATCTCCCATCGTTTCTCATCAAACGCACGCAAAACGAATCAAAGAGACACTAGCGGGTTCTCAAAAAGTAAGAATGCGCTGCGTAGAAGAACAAGATGAAGAAGAGGAAGAAAAGGGCGAACTGTCAAGGATCGTCTCACAGTCATCTGTTAAACTGCTCCGCGTTGTTGCCGGCATTCCGCATCAGTTTTTTGAGGAATTTTCTTTCTCGAACACGGTCATCAGCGAAGCTCTGTTGGCAGTCACTCTCGGCACTATCTCCCTTGATGTCCTTGATTTCTTGATTGTGGCTGTGTTTCTTTAGCGGAAATCTCAAAGATTGCCTGCCGTGTTTGAAGTTTCTCCCAGATATTATCATTGAGATATATTTCAAGGTGGCGCTTATGTCCTTGGGAGCAGGGTCAACCGTCACGTTCGAACATTTTCGGGATTTTTGCGACCCCCCCCCTCTCGAGGGGGTCCAGTTGCGACCAGCCTTCCCCCACCGCGACCTCTCCCTCTTATTTG